GGGGGGGGGGAGGGGTCCGGGGTCCGGGCAGGGTCCAAGGGAATTATTTGGCGGGAGGAAGGAGTGTTTTGTTCTCCCTCGGTTTGTGCATGGCCACTGGAGACCTGGGAGTGGCCTGGAGAACCAGAGCTCACCAGCTGCCAATGCCAAGGCCAGCCCCAAAGCCTGCCACCCGGGAGCAGCCCTGAGTGGCCAGCCCCGGCCTAGGTGAGGGGCACCTGCAGATGGCTGCCACCCACACTGGCCTGGGACTCGGTAGGGGCCGCTCAAGGTGCCTGGGCCTCCCTCCTGAGAGGGGGCCCCTATTCATCATCCCCTGGGGCAGGTTGCTCCCGGTACTGGCAAGCCCAAATGTGTCCCTGTAGGCCCCAGAGGGACCCAGGTGTCAAGGAAACCCCCCAGCCCCCGCTCCCCTTCCCCCAGCGCACACACCCTAGCCATCGTCCCGGCAGAGCCCTGAGGCGTGCCACGTGCCAGCCAAGGCTCTGGTCTCTGTGGCCAGTGTCCTGAGCTCAACGTTTGCTTTCTGGGCGTAGATTCCGGCCCAGCGCTGCCTATTGTTGTGGAAATGTGCGTGTGTTCTCCTCTGAGCAGTCCGCCCCACCCCGGCCCCGGCACGGAGACCCGAAGCCCAGTCTCAGGAGCCGGCGGGGAGGACGGGATGGACGAGGTCACAGCCAGCGCCCACCCCAGGACCTGGGAGCCCACCTGGGACCTTGGGAAGGAAGACCTGGACCGGGGCTGCAGGAGGTCTGCGGGAGGCCCCCAGGGCTTGTGTTCTGCTGGGCCACCCCGTTGCCCCTCGGGACTCCACGTCCTCGGATCGGTGGCGCGCGCCCTGCTGTGGGACTGTCCTGTGCCCGCCATAGGGCAAGGCCAGGCCCCGGGCATGTGGCCCAGAAATGAAGGGTCTGCCCTGGGGGGCGCGGGCATTGCTCGCACCAACCTTCCTGGCGAGCTGCACCCGCGGGGCCCTCAGGAAGGAGACTGTGGGGGGATGGAGGGCCGCCGGGTGGGGTGTAGTGGAGGCACCTTTTTGAGGACCCTGGGGGGTGGGGCCGGGACCCGTGGGCTCCGGTGGCCGTTAGAAGTTCCTGTGTGTGTTGTTATGCCCTCTGTTCAATGGTTTCAGTCAATGTTTCTCTTTAATAAATTTCCCTGAAAATTTCATCTGAGTCTGGCCTCTGATGTGGGCAATGGAGGGAAGGGGCTGCTGTGGTGGGGGAGGGGTTGGGGGCAGCAGCGGTTGCCTGGCACCCCGAGTCGGCACGGAGGTACGGTCCGGGCAGGGTCCAAGAGGGTCCGTGTGGTCTCCTGGGCTGGACGGAGCCGGGCGGCAGGGCCTTGTGGGCACGGGCTGTGGTTGGTTGGGTCCCCAGGAACCTCGGGGAGTCCCCGGGAACCAGTGGGTTAGGCGTCAGGGGGAGGGGGAGGGACGGCAGGCAGGACCCGAAGCTCCAGGATCCCTGGCAGCTCTGTGGGGGCTCGGGGCACCCAGATGGTTCAGAGATGTCACGTGTGCCCTCCCGAGGACCAGCCGGCCACAGAAGGGTCCGGGCGTGAGGTCAGAGGCCCCTGCCGGGAGTGCAGTTCAGGATTCCGGGGTGGGGGGTTTTTGCCCACCTGCCTGAGATCCGTGTACCCCTGCCGGCCCGCAGCGGCCTGCCCTGGTCTAGGCGCTGAGGGACATTTGGGGACCTGGGGCTATGGGGTGGCCGAGGGAAGGAGGGCCGCCCAGCAGGAGTTCCAGAGCCCTCAGGCCCTGGGTGGGGGCACAGAAAGGCAGGGAGAGCTGTCCTCCACTTTAAGTCCTGGGCGGGGCGGTCCCCCGAGGGGCAGGGGCGCCCCCCCCCCAACTCCACTGCAT